CTAAATCTTTTTTGGCATCTATCCTCATGATGTTTTCTGGTCCCTTTTCACCATGCATAACAAAGGCATTCGCTGAATCCCCTCCAAACGACATATGGACGCACTTTTCATCATTCAGAGGAAGGTGCCAGTCCAACGACCACTGCCTGGCAGCGTCCACATCCATTTGGAGAGCACTGACATCGGAACTCCAGGATTTCAAGTCGTCCGCTAAAAGTATACATTGGTCTCGCAAGAACGTCTGGGAGGTCGTTGACGTGGATACGAAACAGCACTGGTCCCAAGACGGAGCCTTGAGGAACTCCAATGGAGACCGGGCACCTGAAAACCCGGTGCTCACTGTGCGGGTATGTTCTTCAGGCTCGTCCCAAATGTGAGTCCGCAGATAAGTGAGCTATTTTTGGTATCTAGTTCCCGATCAGTCCAGCAAACGCAAGGGTATGCTCGCTAACCGGTCCGCAAAGGAGGCATCTTATGATGCTCAGCTGGACCGATGCACAGGTTCCCAGAACAGTGTCTTGGTAGTTCCCGTGCGTCCGTATTCTCGGCTCCGAAGGAAAAGTCGTCGGCAGCCGTGTGTTATTAATACTAGTGTCAATGTTGTGGAGCTCCAGTCAGAGGTAGGAGACGATGATGAATTCATGCGATGCTTGTGGGTTCCACAGTGCACTTCGTCTGTTAACGAGAAATCATGCATTTCGGGTAGGTCTCATACTTTTCGAGGATTAAAAATAGGCACCAAGTTACGGAAAACAATAGTAGCCAGTGAAGATGGGAGTGTGTTGACCGTCGCCGAAGAATTAGTCACTTTAAAGAGTGAGTTTTCCTCCCAGTTTGTCCGCCGGTAGTCTAATAGCGTTAATTGGATAACTTAACTTATATCTTTCCCTCATTTCAGGAACACTGCGAACTAATAGGCCCGTACGCTTCTCGCCATGAACTATGTGCTAATCAAAACGCCGAGTAAGAATCAACTTCTCATCTCGTCCAAGTTGGTCTTTCAACTTTTTCTAGTCGAGATGGATAGGTATGTGTTGGGTAGCTGATTAACTGTGTGTTGGTTAAATGCGTCAGCTAAACCCGTTCAGCTGTCCGCTATGATCGACGTGGGTTCCACGTAGCCAGTTGATTAAGCATCCTAGACCCCTAGCCACAAGTTAGTCGTTTGCGTCAGTTCCCATTAAGATAGTGTGCAATCAATGGCAGCTTCCTTCACTTAGGTTTGGGCTCATCGGTAGGTTTTACGATTAGTAGTTCAATATGTGCACCTCAGGTGGCAACCCACCTATCAACTGCTCGCAGCCGGCTGTGGAGCACATGGTGTATTTTGCATTTTACAAAGAAATGCTGTCCTGCTATTACAGATTGCTCGAACACTCCAGAGCTTCTATCAATCTATGCATCAGAATGCTTGACCTGAAGGCGGTGGTCATTACCATCCCCATCCTTATGTTCTTGATACACAATATGAGTTCTCCGGATGTAATGAATGTGCTCATGGCGGCGAATTATCGAGAAACCTATTCACGGAGTCCGAAAACACATGATTCGGTATCTATCTAGTTAGGCGCTTGGTTTCAAGTTCAGATTCAGTTACGGCAGTGACTGTCCGTCATACTTGCGTCCACGAGGAAAATGTGGATTTTGGGAAGTTTAGCTATTAATTAGTTAATTAATTAACTAAGTTAATTAATAATTTATTATTACAGCTGAAGAACTACCTGCAGCCTTCGCACATCGTAGGCTATTTACGCTTTACTAAAAATCGTTATATCTTACTATAATTATACACTAATTTCCGATTCGAGGTAATCGATGACCTTGGGGATTCGCTAACTTAAACTGATTGATCATATAGATAATTTTCAGGGAAACCCATTGGACAGTAATTCTAAATGCACCGTCGTTTTCGATAAATCGATTAATTTGACGAATACTGATAGACCTTTAAATGAACGTATTTTGATATTTCATATGTCTGCCGCTTGATCCGGTTCCACGATTCCGGGTATGTTGAGTATCGTGTGACGCCGAGTTGGCTGTTTCAAGCCCGCCGGCATCAACTATATGTATATTACACGTTTGTACGCGTGGATCATCGAAATAATGAATGGTACTGGAGCGAAAAAGACGCTTTGAGAAGCAAAACTTGCCGTGGCGGACCGTCTGTTCCAGCGGGGATTCTTTCCAAAGATTATACTATTTGCTCGGGAAGTAAACCTGTGTAGTGGTCCGGCTACCCATAAGTTAGTTTACCAGGAGTGTGTGGGAAAGAAATAAAAATAATTACGCTAGTTTGGGTATACAAAAATAAAGAGATCAGATAGAACAGACTCACTAACAATTGTTTTCTTTAAAATAGTTCGTCGTTGGCCCAGGTCAGCGAATAAACAATAATCCAATTATGTTTGTCCAGAGGTCTTATTCTGAACAGTTCCCACATATAATAGATTCCGAAGATGTCTGAAGTGCTTTGGTACCAGAGTTAGTACATGAGACTCGCGAATGACCGCTGCAAGCGCGAGCGAAATCAGAAGAGAGAGTCTAAGCACGTGACCACGCTTGTATTATGTAAAATTTTACAAGTAAGCGTTTTTGTAGTTTTTCGAATTTAAACAAAAAACGANCGTTGCTCAAGAATTTGAAACGGTCGTTACGGCAAGTGTCTAAGAGACGTTTGTGTCGCACGTCGACAGAAAGATTGTAATGGGTCAGGAAATCTGCTCCGATGATAGGTTTTTGGACGTCGGCCAAAATGAAGATCCACTTGAACGCACGTCGCAATCCGAGGTCAAGGGTGAGGGAACGTTCGCCGTATGTAGCGATGCGGGTGCCGTTGGCGGCTTGTGAGGAGAAAGAAGCAGAATCGGGAAGTGGATTCTTATGTGCTAGCACACTAACTTCAGCTCCCGTATCTACGAAGAAACGTAGACCATTTGAACGATCGGTGATGTGGAACAGGCGACTAGTGCGAGGAGGGCCACAGACAGTCGTCGCCGTTACTGACTGGC